GGGCGTCGGTGAGTTTCCGGCGAGACATTGTCGTGTGGGGGGTCCGAAGAACTGAGCTCTCGTGGGGTGTGGGGGATCCCAAGAACTTAGCTCTCGTGGGGTGGGAGTGCTGGGACGTGGGTCGATTGGGGGTGTCGGTTAGTTTCGGGCCAGAAGTTCGAATTTAGAAGTTCTTGCGTGGGGATCGCAAGAACTGCGCTCTCGTGGGGTGATGGTGTTTCAAGCATGTACTTATCGTGTACGGGGGTTCGGAGGACTGCGTTTTTGTAGGGTGGGCCTCGCGGACGCGCTTCTCCTCACACGCCTCCAGAGTCGGTGGATCCTGATCCCTATGTTGGCTTATCCGGCTACGTGGCCCTGTTGGTCGGGCCCATAAGTTTCAAATCACTAGTACGACCTTTCAGGAGTGGTTTCGTCGTCCTCGGTGTCCTCGTCGTCCTCGTCGTCCTCGTCGCCGTCCTCATCCTCGTTGTCGTCGCCCTCGGACAAGCCTTGGGCCCTGCACACCGCCTGGCCTCCCGCGCCTTCGGAGCGTGAGACGCCGAGCGCCGCCGCCCGAGGCCTCCAGGTCGGCGCGCAGGCCGCCAACCAGTGGAATGCTGCCGCCATGGGCGCCATGGGCATGCTTGGCGGAATGGGTGGTACTTGTCAGCCCCCTCCCTCCCCATTCTCCTCCTCCCCCCACTTCTCCCCCCCTCTCCTCCTCTTCCTCCTCCTCAGCATCACTCCTTCCTCTTCCTCATAAATCAGCCCTCCCCGTGGCGCCCCGAGGTCAGTCGGAAGGGGTGGCTGGGCGTTTCCTTCAGATTTCTTTACCATTGTTGATGTTGAAGCTGAAACATTGCCAACTGCTTCATATTTACGTGGAGGACAGGTAGTTTTCAAGCTGTGGCTACCGCCTTAGAGCCGCGCGCAGTCGTCTTAAGCAATTGCAGGAGCTTCGCGGATGGAGGGCAGGTCGTTTTCAATATGAGGCTCTCGCATGGGCGCCACCCACATTCGTCTTACAAATTTGCGCCTGGGGTTGCCGTCTGACAGAGGGCGGTTTTCAAAATGCTGTTCTCGCCCTAGCGCCGCGCACATTCGTGCTAAATAATGCGACAGTTTCACGGATGGAGGGCGGTTCCTTTTCAAAATGTGGTTGTCGCTTCAGTTTCGCGCGCATTCGTTTGAAACACTTGTTGGAGTTTCATTGGTACCCATGGCTAACGTACCAGAAGTGGTATTTTGGAGCGGTTCAGGAGGCCGCAAGTTTTATAAGTTGAATCTCGGTGTTCAAGTCCCAGGAATGGTGTACTGGCACGATTCATGATCGTCTAGGCGCACCGGTCAAGTTTATTCGTGGCGTTGAAGTTCCGAGATTTTTTTTGGCACGCTTCAGGATCTTCCAACGGTTGTCTCCCAACGGGGTACCTCCCTCAGTGGACATGAGTCTTCGTAGGGACCCATGAAGAGGGATCTTGAAGGAAGGGTTCATTCCAACATTGTTGATGAGTCTCGGGTTTACATTAGTCCTCCTCCTCCTCCTCCCCCTCCTCCTCCTCCTCCTCCTCCTCCTCCTCCTCCTCCTCCCTTCCCCTCCTCCTCCTTCCGCTCTCCTCCATCCTCCCCATCCTCTTCCTCTGCCTCCTCCTCTTCCCACTCTTTTTTCTCGTCCTCCCTCCGGCCCTCCTCCCTGGCATGGGCGGTATGCTCCTTCTCTTCTTCCTCCCCCCATTCTCTTTAAGGGGAAAGACATCGTTGCAGGAACAGATACCGACCCATAACTGAGGATCATTCTTCCTCGAGTTCGGTCCACGTTGGGCTGTTCCCTCAACAATGGATCCGGGACGAAACTACCACTGGGGAGGTGGTCGGGAACTTTTGGGCAGCGGATTGGAAAATCAGATCCGCGGATTTGGGGGGATACCTCTGCTCGTCCGTCGTCGCCACGGCTGGATTCGCCTCGAAAGTCTGATCAGACCACACCCCCGGAGAGATCCATCCCTGAGATCTGGGCGTGGCACATTTTTCACATCATGTGTTTGGGCCACGTTTCTTGGGCCCCGGGGCCATCTCAGGTCGATCCGGCTCGAAAGAGTCCACAGAAGGATGGGGTCCAGGACTCCGTTTGTGATTTGTTCGCGATCTTTTTGTTCGCAAGGTCGGACCTCAGGGGATACCCACGCCTCTTCCCTCGTGGCCACGGCTGGATTCGCTTTGTTTCGACTTCTACGCCGTTGGATCCAAGTAGTGGTCGAGCTACAGCTAGTCAGAATACTTCCGCAGAGAGGTCCATGGAGCAGCGGTATCGCTACGTTTTTGCCATCCCCCCAAGGTATGGGTGGCATGGGCGGCATGGGCGCACTGTGGTGAGGTCGGGGACCTCTGGGCGTCTCGCGCCGGCCGCCCCTATACCGCTGTGGGCAGTGTCCAGCGCAGCTCATCCCCAGCACTTGGCACATCTTACTTGCAATGGAAAAGCGTGGGCGCGTGCGGGGGAGGGGGAGGGAGGGCCCCAGCGATCAGACGCTCCGCACAGATTGGAGCGGCCGGTGTTTGGCCGTGTTCGGCTTCCGGCGTCCCTCAACGGGCCAGCACCGCTGAGAAACGCCTCCGGACGAGAAACCGGCCCTGCACGGAAGTGGGACCTCCTTGGGCCCACGCATCGAACAAATGGGAGCGCGGGATGCATGGGAGGGGAGGGAATCACCACCCACCAGACCACCCCAACCCAACCCGAAGGCTCAGATTTACCCTCGATTTCCAGTGGTGGGGGGTCGGGAAACATCGAAAAAACACATGTGGAATCCTTACCCCCCCAACCCGAAATTCGGGTCTTCGGGTTGGGTTGGGGTGGTCTGGTAGGTAGTCAGGGAAGGCCAGGTCGCCCCCAGGAGCGCGAAGATGTCCGCACGTCGCGCGATGCGGTCCGGTGCGCGACGTTGGATGACCCAGGGATGGCTGGGCGAGAGCGACAAAGCATATGTCCCACATGTGTGTTGGGGTGGTGGAGTCTCCCGCTGGAAAGCCGTGTCAAGGTCGGGGGGGCCCATGTGTGTGGATTTGGCGCGCCAGGAGTGGATCCAGCATGTAGAACTCTTGGAGAGCCAGAGGCGAGTTGATTTTGAGCTTGAGTCCAACTCCACCCAGAAGACTCGGAAGTACTGTTGCTAGTGTTGGAGTTCGAGCCGAGGACAGGCGTAACCCTGAATGGGCCAGGGTGTCATTATTGACGCTTCGCTTCTTGGCGCTTCGCTTCGTTTCGATTTCCACGCGAGTTAATAAGCAGCAGTGCTACATGGTACATGGGTTTGGCACCCACCAAATCGAAGTTGGGGTCAGCACGAGCATTACCTAACAATGGCCATACTGGAAACTTCTTGGGGCCTCTTAGCACCCATATTCGGTTTGTTGGGAGCCATTTGGGAGTTTTTGGGGCAACAAGCAAGGACGATATTGGTATTGCCCCCCCCCCCCCCCTACCTATCCTTCACTGCGTTGCCCGACCGCGTTCCTCCGTAGACCCTCTTGGGTCGCGTTGCGGGGTCTCGGGCTCTGGGAGGCCGTAGGAGGAGGCCCCTTGCGATCGATTTGCGATCGCGCGCGCGAATCAGCAGAGCAACACCCACCGGGAAACTTGGGAAGTCACGGAGCCATCATCAAGGTTCGGCGATTTTGGCATTGGCGCTACGCCCGAGCGCTTTTCTGATCAAGGATGCCTCGCGCGCCATAGGCTGCCTCGTACATAAAATTTATCATGTGTGCTAGATGATGCCGCCTCTAAGCTTTACGGCGAGAGCATCGCACTCGATGGTCGTCCTCGCTACGTCGTTGGCAGGACTTCCGGAAGCAATGGCAGGCTACTCTTCAGCAGATTGTCGCTAGACTTGTCGCGCCCTTGCGACCCCCAGGCTTTGTGCGAGCAAAGGCTTGTGATCCTGCGCGGGTAATGCACACGCGGAGTCGTCAAGGGCTCATCTGGCGCAGCGCGTGCCATGTGCCCTGGCTGCTCGGTCGCACCCCGTTCCATGTGTTCTGCTGCTGGCAAGAGCCCTGGCCCTGCTGCTGGCAAGCGGACCCTCGAATCCAGGCCAGGATGGGGCTATGTCTGGGATGGTGCCGCACGCCGCCGCCAGCCCCTCTCAACCCGCAGAAGGACACTGTTCGCGCGCGCGTTGTTCCTCGCTCCCCCTTCGACGGGCAGGTCTGCTGAGTTGCGAAGGACATGCGTAAGGAGCAGAAGAAGGGTCACTCCGGCCAAGTGTGCTCGTTGAGTGCGCCTAGAGTGCACAACATCGATTGTACAAAATCGATCGCGAGCAATTTATTTTGTGTCGCATATATTGCACAGCATCTTGCGCCACGTCTATTGCACAGCGTGTTTGGCGCAACGCATATTGCCAGAAGCGCGCTGTTTGGGGTCCACGCTGGCTAACATGCCATTGCTTGTTCTTCCAAGAGAACTGCTCTGATCGGAGAGAGAGCCCGTCGCATCTCTGGGGGTATCCCGTTTCGTGCGCCGTGCTCGAGGAGGAGGAGGAGGAGGAGGAGGAGGAGGACGGTTTATTTCATGCTGTCTCCACGGGCGGGCCTCGTGCCCTCCTTCGCCGCGAGATTCTGTCGGAGGGCGGAGAGGTGACACGACCACCACCAGGGGTGCCACCTCCACCGAGGGGGCTCCATGGTGCCTCCCCGAGCTGGGGATGGGGGATTTCGCGAGCGAGACGGCGGGAAGCCGCGCCACCATGACGACCCTCCCTGGCACCGTATGCCGATGGTGGCGTCGTTGCCTTCTTCCCTGCTCCTGGTTGTATTAGGAGTGACCCCTCGCCGAAGCGACCTTCGGTGCGGGCCCACTGGAGTCCTCGGATCGCGGAAGCAGGTGCGACAGCAGCGGCCGCGCACGAAAGGTCGCTCTAGCCTAGGGTCACTCTTGGGTGTAGCCGATGTGTGGTTCTGTCATCGGTCTTTTCTTGCCATGCCATCTTCCCCCCCGAACCTGCCCCCGCGGGCCGCAGGAGCTCGGCCCCGACGGCCGCATCTCGAAGCGGGAGCTCAGCCCCTCGGAGGCACTCGAGCATTTGGAGGACTCTGTCATGCGACATGCGCTCCCGTCCCCCCTTTCATCTCAACACGACGCGGACGGGTCGTGAGCGAAACCGGCCTCTGGATTTTTCATATTTGTTGGCCTCCCAGGGCCCGCCATGGGTCAGGAAGCGGCCCAGGACGCAAAGTTGGTCCCGGGGAAGGCCTGCGGTGCGTCGGGGCTCCCCCCCTCTGCCTCTCCGCAGCTCGCCATGAAGCAGGCGGGGCGTGAGGGCCACGGGCCCCGATGTGTGGCGCCGGCTTCGGGCTCCCCGGGCCCCATGACCGTCAAGACCGCGGCCCAGGGCGCAGAACTGGTGCCGATGGAACGCCCCACGGTCCAGCACCCGTGCCCCTGAGGGCCCGCGTGCTTCATTCAGGAGGGGAGAAAACACACAGACACAATTAATCCTCCACTCCCAGGAAAATATGGGAAAATATGGGAAGTGGGGGGGAAGACAGAAACCCAGAAAATATACGAAAATATGGGGAATATTTTTATTTGTGTGTATTTATTTGTGTGTTCCAGTTCCCCTTCATTCATGCCAATCAGACTTCGCCTCCTTCCTCCGGTTGAGGAGCGAAGGGTGGTACAAGCATATCTCGGAGGTCCGCGCCGGCGGCCGAGAGTCCATGGCTATGAAACTGGTTACTCTATCTTCCTCCTCCTCCTCCTCCTCCTCCTCCGCCTCCTCCTCCTCTTACTTGCCTTCCCCTCCCTTCTTTTCCTGCTCCGTCCGCCTCAGTGCCGCGGGCATCGGGGTCGGTACGCCCCACGCCGCATTTGCCCCGAATCTGGAAGGTGACTTTTGAAGTCGATGGGAGTACGCGGGCAACGATAGGGGCTACCGTTTCCTTCAGGACCCGTTCCCTTCAGGACTCGCGTGGTTCGTGCCGGCGTCCTTCTGTTCCGCTTCTGGCGCGGCGTGGGTGGGAGGCGTCCTGTAGTCGAGGTCGCCGGCGGGCCCGAGTTGTGCCCTGCGTGCCTCGATGATGCGGGCCTTGCCAATCTGCACGCCGTGTGCCCAGAGATCCGAGGCTTCGACAAAAGTTCAAGCGGCCTGTTTTGGTGCCGTTTTCGGATACTGGAGGCCCTCAACGGGCCCCAGGGCCCCCCCAAAACGACACAGGACGAAACACCGGCCCTAGGTTAGTGGTCCAGACCACCAGGGGTCCACGCATCAAAACGTCGGAGCGCCGGCGAAACACTTGGAGCGCCAGATGTGAGACTGCATGAAAAAATGTGTGAGCTCCGCGCGGGTTTCTTGGATCGGCGCTGATACCTCTGGCGGAGCCCCTGGCATCGCCTTTGGCGCGCTCCGCGTGCCAGGGAGGGGGTGTCCAGCGCCGATCCCAGACATCCGCGCGGACCCCAGAAGTTGTGTTTATGCTGCTTCAGTGTGCCTCCCGTGTGCCGTCTCCCCTCTGGGACTCAGAGGGCAGATTGCATGCAGATCGGCACCCTCGATCGCTCTTCCGCACTTCACTGTGAGCGACGGCTGGTATGTCTTGTCCAGTGAACGCCCCACATTGCATATGACATTGTCTGGTTGTGCTGCAGGAAGAGCGGCGACTGGCCCACGTGGCGGCGACGCGCGCGCAGAGGACGGCAGGGGAGGGCGTGTTCGCGAGGTTGGAGCCTCCCTCCCCCCCCCCCCCTCGGCGGCCTTTTCCCTGGGGTCTTGAGCTAGGCCTAAGCAGGGTGGCAGCATGGGGCCTGTCCCCGCACGCCGCCCTGGCGCCCTGCGCGGGCCTTGCTGCACAGGCGCAGCTCCAGATCTGTAGAATACAAGCGGAATCAACTATTTGACAACACGCGTGCTTTGGACCAGGGAAGGCGGGGAAAAGAGGGATAGGAAGGTCCAGAGTACGCGTCCTACCAACAAAAGCGTTATTACAAAAACGAGTAAAAATCCGACGGGTCATGCATGACGATATCGTTTTTCTAGTTAACGTGAAACCCAGGGTACAACGACACTTGAACGCAGTCACTTTCGCATCACTCACACCTATGATCACGTTGGTCACGAATTTCAGAGCCACGACATCGTATGGAGCTGGCTGCCGATGGCGGCCGTGGGCACCCCTGCAGCTTTGGACGTGGTTCCCATGCTGCTCCTCTTGGGGGTGGCCTTGAGGATTGGGGGTGGGGTCGTGGTCGTATCGAGCTTTTTGATCTTCTTCTTCAAGATGATGTTGGTCTTATTCCTGGAAAGCTGGTTGCTGTCTGACAGCTTCCGGGCTCCGACGCGTGCAGGACGGGTGCGAAGGTTTTCCACAGGCTCTGCGGCAGCTTGTCCAAGAAGCTCGGCCGTCAGATCAGGGATTCGGAGGGCACCAACTATACACCAACACCGATCCTGGCCCAGGATCACCCTGGGCCCATGATCGGTGTATATGCCTTCTTGCCCAGGGCAGGAGGGCGTATACACCGATCCTGGGCCCAGGGTGATCCTGGCCAGGATCGGTGTTGGTGTATAGTTGGTGCCTTCCTAGGGATAACCTGAAATAAACCATCGTTCCGAATATTATGCGCAATGGCAAGCTGGTCTCTTTTACCAGCGAGAGCTTGTCTGTGCCGATCCTGCGGGAGATGATCCACCCTGTCGACATCGATGACAAACGAATTACCCTCCAGAGGGTTCGTGCAAGCCGCGCGGAAGCACTCGTAGTCCGAATTATCCACCACGATCGTGAATACCTTGATTGGGCGATCGGATCCGCCCGCTGGTGCAGGAGCAACCTTTAGGTGCTCTGGGCGGGTGTCGCCCCGAGCTCTGAAACGGTCCCGGTCCTTCCGGCGAGCAATCCGGACGGGCATGCGGCTACGGATGTCGGCTTGCAGGCGGTCAGATCCAGTCGGGCGAGGCTCCTCGCCACGACCGTTACTGCCCGGCTGCATGTGCGCCGTCGGAGCGGGCGCCTTGTCGGGGACCTGCTCTTTGAGGTCGGTCAGCGTGTTCAGACGCGCCGCCTGCAAAGGGCTGCTCGGGTCGAGGCGGGCGGTGCTCTTAGCGATGCTCTCGGAATTATCCACAATCGCCGCCCCGCACGCGAACTCAACCATGCGCTTGCCGGGAGGCATCCAGCTCACTCCTGACAAAGTAGGACGTGATGAGGACTCCGCTGCGCCCTTAGCAATGCAAGCGCGGATCGATCAAGCACCGATTTGATCAAGTCGGATGCCAAACAAACGACCCACAAGGTACTTGAGATTATTGTGGCCAACGTCTTTTGTGAACGCATCGGCCATGTTATGGATTCCAGGCGTGCGGTTTGGCACGATCCCGCACTCATGCAAGACAAGTACTGACACCTCCGCATCTTCTTCAGATGTCCGAGTTTCTGGCTCTACCTTTTTTGATGGCCTGTTTAACACCTTGGTCTTCAAGACGACCCACGACCTCTACTGGAGTGGGGCGTGTGTACTCGACCATGGCTGCGAGACGGATGGCGTTCTTAGCCGTTGATGTCCTTGCCCATGCGAGGCGCTCGCTTTCGCCAGCGTTCGTCGTCACAATGTTCTGGCGCGCAGCGCCCAACGGCAGGGGGTACTGCGAACCCTTCGGCCCGACCAGCTCGAGGTAGAAACCCGTATTGCTTTTCGGTGCAGTAAAGTTTGCGTCAAACCACGCATGCAGAGGTAAATCGTCCCAGCTGTTGCCAGCATTGAGCATGACCAGTTTCATATTAAACGTGCCAGACAAATACCCCACTAGATGTGCAAGCTCTGTCTCTTCCCGTGGACACCACTTGTCGACGTACCGGGCGACGCGGCCTACAGCGAAGGATATGTCTGGGCGTGAGCATCGGGCATCGTAGAAGCTCTCACCGATGATTTTGCGCCTGTCAGTGCCAGCCTCTGACGGTGGGATGTCTTCAGGGCGTGGAAGCGACGTCTGTTGAGCAGGAGTTGTTGTTGGCCGCGCTGTTTGTCCTGTGACGGCCTCCCAATCGTCGCGCGTGCAATATTCGGCCTGCGAGATGGTGCACACGGTACCGGACTTACCGCCAGCGAGCGTGGTAAGACGTGGAGTGCTTCAAATGCATCCCAAAAGCTTGCGTGCAATTTCCGGCGACTTCGAAGTAAACATTGTGGGGTCGGTTTCGCTTCTGCGCGTTCAGCTTGCAGTCGTCGACATATGTAGCCATACTTGAACAGCGTTTCGAATTATTTTTTGGCCCACGATGTGGAACCATATTTTTTTGATCAGCTTCGTGCCTACATGGGGTATCAACGCGGTCGCGTTGAGAAAACGGTTCCCGGCCACCTTGGATTTCAGCATCAACCCAACATTTGAGTTTCAGAGCTCGCTGGAGGGCGTCTGTGTCGTTGTCCTTGTCCCAGAGATGGAAAACATATGGCTCCTCCTCCATCGACCGCCACTCGTTCCGAATCATCCGCTGCTTATGCGCAGCGATGATGTCGGATCCGGAGCGTTGGAGACCATGCACAGCGCGCTTCACTTTACAAACAGGCATTTTCAAATGAAAGAATAGACGACGGGCGTCTTCAGGTAGGACGTCGATGACCTCAGCAGGCCTGTAGATGTAGTATCCGATGTCACCCCCGAGGAAGATTTGCAAGTACGCATTCGATAAGTCGACAATTTCGGTTTCCCTCCCCATTGCCAGGCTGCGTTCCTGCGCGAAGCGAGCTCCAGCCAGGCTGGTAACAGGAGACCACGAGAGGTCGGGGGTGGGAGCGAATGACCCGCATGTGCTTGTTGAACAGAATCTTTCCAATGGCTACGTATCGGGCCGCGCGCTCATGCGCGGCCGCTGGGAGCTCAAAGTGTTTCTCTGAAGTGAGGAGCTTACTTTCTACGACAAGGGCCGATTCTGGGGATGAGGCGACCTCTTGGGGGAGTGCCCACGCGGGGTGCTCCATCATGCGAGCGAACTCTTGGGCCGCCGCCGCAGCGCCACAAGGTGTCTCGAGGTGCGCCTTCGCGCCCACGAGTAGGGTGGCGCGCGCCGCCTGACGCCCGGGAGCGCGCATCACCTCAGACTCCAATTCTCGCCGGGCGATCTCAGTCAAGAGGGCCCGGACAATGCAATATCTGAGGGTGGAGGTGAAAATAGAAGATCCGGCTGGGGAAGCGAAGTCTTCGTAAACAGCGCTGCGGCTTCCTTTGGGGATGGATTCGGGCGCCCGTCTTCATCTCCAGACGCGCGAGAAGACGCCGGCGACAGCGGCCCGGCGAGGGCCGAGGCAGGGCTCGGAGTCCAAGTCCGACGGGTCGCCCGACGAATATATGCCGACGTGGGCGGCGCGACGACGAGTCCTCCGAGGCGGTTCTGTCTGGGCTGTCATACGATATCGCTGGCGCGCGTGGTAGCGCCCCTGCCAGTCGCTTCGTCTCTCTTCTGTCGTGGCCCTTCTGATCCACCCAGCCAAGGGAGTCGTCTGGGCCTGGGCCTCAGGCGCCGGCGAGGGCCCAACCGGGCGACGCGCCTCGCCGCGACCGCAACCTGCGCCGCCGGACGGAGAAGAGCTTTCCTGGAGAATATCTGCTTCGATCTCGCTCGGAGGAGCTCCAAAATTTAACGGTGCATCCATGGGCGCTGGCGTCGAGGGCGGATTTGGAAGAGGGGGGGGCTGTCTCGCGGAAGCGCATTGTAGCGCGTGCGACATACGATTGGCCGCTCGACAACCCACCGCTCTCCGACCGAGGCGATCGAAGAGACGCGCGCCCCCCGTGAAGTTTTCGAGTCGAAGCCGACGGAGATCCCGAGTTTGCACGAGGGCCAAGCTCGCCATAGCGCTGGGGCTCGCGTGCGAAGCGCAATGATTTACATCCCCGTGGAGGCCATGTGGAAACAAATTGAAACGTGCCGTCGATGTTTTCCACTGCGCGCGGAACCAGTTTCTCGGCGAAGCCATGGGCGACGCGCGGAGTCTTGTTGAACATGTTGTTGGCACGTTGGGAAGCTTCATCCCAGTGAGCTTTTGGAGCGGAGGCTTGATGAATAATGGCCCATGTAGTTTCGGGCGGTCTCTGGATGCGACGTTCGGCAATGCAGTTGGCCTGAGATCGATGACCATCCGTGTCTGCGCACATAATATCTGACTCACTTAATTATTTGTGGCGTTATCCCAAGAATTCCGCGCCAGGGTCCGAGTGGGAACGCCGCGAACTACGCCGGTGGATTTTGAGTGTAATCACGGCGTCTCGGAGCGTGGCTGATTCTTTGTTTGGGCGTCTGAGTGCGAGTCCATGGCGCGATTTCTTGATGGCCATGGCATGGCCGCGCCTGTTGATGTGCAGGGATGCCGGCAGCTGGCCCTGCAAATCTGCAGATGCCCCCCCCCCCCCCGCCGCTCTCTTGAGAGACGAGCCGGGCGGGGCGCGCGCGGGACTTGGCCCGCGCGCAGATGTCGCAAACAGCTCCGTAATCGATGTGGCCCCGTCGAATGCGATCCTTGATCGGCCCCTCCAAGATAGCGGATTTGCGGGATGGGGGGCGGGCTCCGGGCGGGGCCAGATTGCATGAGGAACCCATGCGATGATCTACTTTAGGGAAAATTGGGGTGCCATTTTCTCAAAAGGCGAGTCTGGCATACGCGTCGAAACAGCTGCTGGCCACTGGGCCGACGCATG